ACAAAAGCATTATATCTGCCTGCACTCGGTATTATTTTCCTTAGCAGTTTCTCTTGAGACAAAAAGATAATGGGAGAGAGAGGCAGAATATATTAAATTTCCCAGAGTATATTGAATTTGTTTTAGGTACGTTGCCTTAATTTCCTTTATATCCTCTAGACATAATTTCTTCTAGGTGTTAGCACATGGACACTATTTTCAAAGATAACCTAGATAATATTTGTAGTTTTGTTTTATTGTACTAAGTTCTCCTATGAATTTGAGGTAACTAATGGAATAGAAAGCCTTTAGGCTTTCCTTTGAGAATTGTTTGTCTCTAAGGAAATTCTCTTTGTGAATCATCTTTTGAACCAGGAAAATTTACCCTGAGTGGGGAGTTTTCCTTTATAGTTTCACAAAATGTTGAATGAACAAATGAACAAATGCGTCAAAAAGTGAATAGGCTGTAGTCCTTATTCAAAGCTTTTAGGTCCTGATTTACTCTCACTAGAGAATTTTATGATTTACACACTTAGGGCACACAGACCTGTGAACAGAGTTGCTGAAGTTGGCAGAGATTTGGATTGTGGTTAGAGCCACTTTGAAAGCTGAAGCTGCTTCTACATGGCTCTGCCAGGACACCCAGTACCCCATGTCTCTGTGCATGGAGAGCTCCTCGCTTGGGCATTCCGCAGGCTCTTCCTTGTACTGCCCTTGACAGCTCTTCCAGTGTGACTGGCAGACTGAAGCAGTGAGTCAGTCATCCTTGGGCCTGAAGTGGGCTTCACCATGAGGCCAAGCTGGGAATGGCAGTTGGAAGAAATAGAGAAAAGTAAAGAGTCTCTGAAATTGAAATGGCCTCCTATGTAGCTAAGAACAACTAGACGCAAACCTGGCAATATCTCCAATAGAACATTCTGTGGTAATATTAACACAATTTAAAGCATTTTTTTAAACCATTATTTACCTGAATTAATGTCTTCATTGCCAATCAAGCATTGATTTCCTTCTATTTATTAGCCTTTGATTTAATTAATAAGACTTGTTAAAGAGGAATCTTCACTGTTTTCCTGTAAACAGCTTAATTTAATGATTTAATTTGAATTTTGTAATTAATCTAAAGAACTTAAATCAATGTTTGAAGTATATGTTTTGAAAATTTAATAAAGTAGTTTACACCACACAAGGTAATGATTAGATACTGTGTTCATTTTTATTTTCATAGAATAACAGACATCTTCTTTGGATATCTTTAAAAAATGACATTTTGTTAGTTAGTAACTTAGAATTTCAAGTATTTCAATCCATACTAAAGTTTAAAAAGATATCTGGGGCCAGCCCTGTGGCTTAGCGGTTAAGTGTGCGCGCTCCGCTGCTGGCGGCCTGGGTTTGGATCCCAGGCACACACCGACACACCGCTTGTCCAGCCATGCTGAGGCCGCATCCCACATACAGCAACTAGAAGGATGTGCAGCTATGACATACAACTATCTACTGGGGCTTCGGGGCGGGGGGTGGAATTAAAAATTAAAAAAAAAAAAAAAAGATATCTGTACCAAAGGTAGAACATTAGAAAATTTGTAATGTTATTTTTTCCAAAGGTGCCTTTTCCAAAAATGGAGCCCGTGAATTAATACTTTTGCTAGACTTTAGAATGGAGGGATTCAGTAGTTGGTGAGTGTCTAGACATGTGGAGAAAAACTAATTAAGAAAAGAGAAAGTCACAGTGACTCTTAGGTTAAAGAGCAATTTGATAATCAATATGATTCTTAATGGGAAACCAAGGCAGCAGTTGGAAAGGAGGGAGATACTGATTAGTGGTCTGGGTTCAGATTATTAAAGGACAGTGAGGGTTTTAAAACATGTCTGTTTGGGTGCAAAAAGGTTAATTAACAAAGTATTCTATAAATTCTAAGACTTAAGGAAATGGAAACTTTCCATATCTGCACGCATCAAAAACAAAGAGACTACACCTTCAATTTCAAAAAAGAAAATAAATATTTAAACCAAATATGAAAGATGTTGAAAACTTTATAAAAATTTGAGATTTCTGAAATTTTTGAAAGCAATAATTTTTATTCTTTCTTCTTGAGTTATCCTGTGTGTATAAGGAAGGAAATATCAGTATATTAACATTATTAATATTCATTCAATAAAATATTTTGAGAGCCTGCTCTATGCCAGGTAGTTTTAGGCATTAGTATATATAACAATTAACCAAAGAGAAAAAGTTCCTTCGCTCCTGGAGCTAATAGTCTAGTATAAATTTTAAGGAAATTTTTAGTTTCGTATGATGTAATACGTAAAATCTCATTGTCTTTAACTATTGTGATTATTATAAGTATAAGAAATTAATACTTGGAGGTTCAATTCATGGAGAATTATGCTTCAGAATCAGAATTCCATTAACCTGGATCTTGTTTTTTTATGCAGTTATCATAGTAAATATGTTCAAAATTTTTTTCACCACAAAAGTAACGCACGTTAGTCTATGAGATTACTTAAGGTGTTCCATCTTTAGTTGCATTTAAAGAGTAAGTGTTGGTTCAATTGAAAGTTCGTCTCCTTTCAGTGTATTTCAAGGGAATCATAGCTTCATGGTCTAAGAGTGTGTTTTGAGTACATAACTTTCAAAAACATGAATTCCCTGTATTCCAGAATTTAGTTCGTGGTTCGTATAAGTTAACGATCTCAAGGGAAGTAGAAAAGCTTTGTGGGAAGAAGGTTGTGTGTGTTTTCTATGAGCGAGGGGAAAATATCTGTAAATGAGAGGAAAATTCCAGCCGGTTCCTGGAATCAGTTACTGCCTCCTTGGGGAGCCAGTGATGAGCTCAACTGGGCTGAGAAAAATCCCTGCAGATGTCAGTGCTGACTGCATCCCAGCCTCAAGCCCTGCCAGAGGCCTCCCGTAGTTGGAAAGGACGAAGTGAAGAGCACAAGGTACAGTCTCCAGTTGAACCCCATGTGCATATTAATTTTTTGCCTGCACCTGGGTACCTAAAGCACAATCGGATTAGAAGAATCAAGGTAATGTACTCAGGGGAGGAGAGTTGCAGAGCAGAAAAGCAGCAGGCCTGTCCTCCGAGCCGAAGCACAAGGAAAAATAAACACAACTCCTAATCTTGAGGAGATGGAACATTGTGGAGCCTTATAATCAGATGTTTTTATTCAATTCCTGTAATCAATAATGTATTTCAACAATCAGTTCAATGAGAAATGCCACCAGGAGGGTTGGACTGTGATAAATTCCTTGGCCTTTTGAGTTTTGTGTCTGTGGCAGTTTTTTGAGCAAAAACAGACCAATTGGATGCAGTTCTTAAGAAAGAGACATTCAAATTCTTTATTTCAGACTCAGGCACTGGATTCTCTGGGCCACATGAATTCTCCTTTGCTGCTTCCATAACCTCTAAAGAAATTTGGTTGTAATTTAAATGGCAACAAGAAACCATTTTTTATCTATCAGATTGGTAAAATCAATGGTTCATAGCATAGTACAGGTGAAGGGGAAACAGGAGCTCTTATCATTTGCTGTAGGAAGTTGATACAACTTCTATGTAGGATAATTTCCTAATATTCATCAGAATTAGAATTTAGAAATACACATACATTTTGATCTTGCAATTTCACTTTTAGGAGTTTATCCTACAGACATATTTTTACGTGAATGATATTACATGTTCAAGAATATTTATTGCATCATTGTTTTAGTACCAAAAAATTGGGTACACGCTAAATGCCTATCCATAGAGGACTGGAGATTAAATTAAGTATGCTACACTCCTACAAAGGAATACCTGTGGTCTTTCAAAAGCAAGAAAGAGTTTTCTATGAATTTATGAGGAAGTCACCAAAATATATTAAGTGATGAAAAAAACAATATACCATGTACTCTGTATGGCATACTACCGTTTGTGTATGTATGTGTGTATCTATATATGTGTATCTATATATATGTGTATCTATATATATGTGTATATGTATGTGTGTGTGTGTGTGTGTGTGTGTGTGTGTGTGTGTATAAGTATAAATGAACAATGGTAAGTTGTGACCTCAGAGGACAGAAGCTGGGTGGCTGAGGGAGGGTGTGGCAGGGAGACTTACTTTTCATTAAATGCCTTCTTGCACATGTTACATATTTAGTGTGTGCTTGTTTCACCTTTTTTAATTAATCAAGTATGCTGCTAGGCCTAGTAAAAGGAGAAAGTAGCGCATACAACTAGAAAACCAATATAGATAGTCATGTCTTTGTTAGCAGAATTGACTGGATAAAAATTTATCTGCCTAGTGCAATCATACTTTTAATTAGAGCCAATACACATTTAGAATGCATCTGGTAGAACCATCTGTTTTGGATAGGTCTTGTGTAATCTTGTAATAGTAAAATATTCATAACTTTTATTTTGATGATATACTATATTATAAAACACAATCAGACCAAATATAATTTTAGGAGGCGCTAGTAAAAACATAGCAAAACAGGGAGGAATGCGTGATGTTGAGAGAGAGAGGGAGAGAAGAGGGAAGAGAGAAAAGAGAAGAGAGAAGAGAGAAGGCTGAGTGTCATGTTTCTGTCCTTGGGGATTGAATAACCTCAATTTAAGATCAAAGGTGAAGACATATCAGCAAAAGAAACAAAGGAGCTACTGAAGAAACAAAGGGAGGGAGTTATTTTGCCCACTTGATTTTTAATTATTCTGAGAATGATTGATCAAGCATGGTGATTTTGTTAAGCACTAGTTTCTTTCTGGAAGGAACATAGAGTGAATCACAGAAAACTTCAGTTAAATCTTGGACTACGCAAGTGTGAATATTTAAAATGTGAATATTTAAAGTGTGAATATTTATGATGATGATATAGAATTCCAAGCCTTACTGAAATTAATCTTGTTGTGGCAGCGTAATTGAGCCGCTAACATTTTCAGTGCAAAAATGCATAAAATGTAAATTGTAAGGAAGACAGAACCATAACGGGAACGTGTTTTCACGGATTTGCTTCTCATATTTTCTTTCATTTCTCTCAGGGTAAATGGGAAGTTGGTAGCCCTGAAGGTGATCAGGCTGCAAGAAGAAGAAGGTACACCTTTTACAGCTATAAGGGAAGGTAGGCGTTTCCTCTTGTTATTTTTGCTTTTGTGTTTGCATGATGCCCGTAGCTGTTTAAATATTATACAACTCCGAATATGCTGAGTTCTTTTTTTTTTTTTTCTTTGCTGAGGAATTTTCTCCCTGAGCTAACATCTGTTGCCAATTTTCCTCTTTTTGCTTGAGAAAGATTTGCCATGAGCTAATATCCGTGCCACTCTTCCTCTATTTTGTGTGTGGGTCACTGCCACAGTCGATGAGTGGTGTAGGTCCACGCCTGGGAACTGAACCCGGGCCACTGAAGTGGAACATGCTGAACTTAACCACTAGGCCATGGGGCTGCCCCTGAATATGCTGAGTTTCTAAACTGTATGGTTATGTCTCTCATTGGAATTTGTAAACTGAAATTTAAAAATCAGCATCTTTTGCAATCTTTTCAAGTCATATTAAATAAAATAAGACCATACTGCTGTATTCTGAAGTGTGGGGAAAAAAACTGCCCTGGATTGATGGTGAGACTGTCACTGATTGAGGAATTTTATATGTCTGATTTTCTTGGCAGAGTTCCTAAGCTACATATTAATCTAACATTATTGTATATTCATGGCTTTTAAGGAAAGTCCTTAAAAATGGGGGAATCATCCTATCTTGTTAGTCATTTGTATTTCTTCTTTCTTGATTTCTTTGTTCCTATCCTTTACTATATTTTCTATTGGTTTTTCTTATTGACTTTTAGATATTCTTTATATATTAGCATCATTTCTGTTGTAATATTTTCTTTCATTCTGTCCTTTTTCTAAAAATTCCTTTTACAGTGTAGTTATTTGTTACATATAAGTTTTTAACTGTTATGAAATAAAATTGCCCTGTCTTTTGCTTTATTACTTCCTGCATAGTTTCTTTACTCCAAGAGAATAAAATATCTTCTTTTATTAGTGGGAACTTTTCAGTTCAGTTTCAGAACTTTTAGTATTAATAGCTTTACCTCTACTACATTTTTAAAAGTGCAAATTTTCTTGACATAAGACTTTAGTATATTTTTGCAGTGAGGGAATCACAGATACTTCTTCCGCTGATCTGCAACAAGGTAAATATCAGTGATTTACTGCAATAATATTATTAAGGTATTGATGAACTAAATGTAGCCTGTTGCTGGTCTGATTTGTTTCCCATGACAGTCTTGATTTATATTTATTTCTGAGAAGTCTCCTTTCAGTTTTCATTCTCACCTCTCGTTCTGATTTCCATACCACTGCAGTTTGGTTTCCATCATTCCTGTCAGCTGAAAATGTTCTTGTAATGTTTGTTAATGACTTCCTTATTGCCAAATTAAATATACTCCTCTCTGTCTTATTTTACCCAACCTGTTAGCAGATTGTACATGGTTGAAATATTCTTTTCTGTAACACCAGATTTTCCAAGTAGCTAATCTTTTCTTTTTCTCTTGTGCCAGCTCCTTCTCTAAATATTGGGGAGTTTTAGGACAGGGAAGGGGCCTTCTCTTCTCTAAGCAGCACTCTTTCCCATGTGATTTTATTCATTTCATGAGTTTAAATAGCAACTGTAAGCTGATGACCCACACATGCCTCTCTTTAGCTAAGACCTGTCTTTGTCTCCATTCTCATATATCCATCTGCCTACCTGGCATTTCCTCTTGAATCCAGTAATACAGTCATGTGTCACTTAACAACAGGACACATTCTTAGAAATGTGTCATTAGGCAATTTCATCCTTGTGTAAATATCATAGAGTGTACTTATACAAACCTAGATGATGTAGCCTACTACACACTTAGGCTATATGGTGCTAATCTTATGGACCACCGTTGTATATGCAGGCTGTCATTGACCAAAACATTGTTATGCAGTGCATGACTATTTATAAAAAGGGTAATATATCACTACCAAGTGAGGTTTATTCCAGGAATGCAAGGCTGGTTCAACCTTCAAAAATCAATCATTATATAATAGTCATCTGAAACTTAACAAATCCAAATGAAACTCATGGTCCCCGCCATCATAACTCAAACCATTTTCTGCCCATATTAGTAATGGCAGCACCCAGTGATCCTCCTCTCCAAATCTAGCCCATGAATAAATTCTGTAAGTTATTTTTCTAAAGGATATCTCAATTCTGTCCACTTTCTCTCTCTTTACTGCCACCCCCAGTCCAGGGTATCATCAGTTCTTGCTTGAGCTTCTGTAATAGCTTCTTAATTGTACTATCCACTTCTTCTCTTACCTTCCTACTATCCCTTCCCTACTCTGTAACCAGTAAAATCTTTTTAAAAACCTAAATCATATTATGTCACTCCTTATTTAAAAGCCTCAGTTTTAAGTACTGTATGACCAGTTTTTCCTCAAACATGCCACAAGATTTCCTATGTCAGGGATTTTACAGGTGCTATTCCCTATGGCTGGAATGCTCTTCCCTGGCTCTTTTCATATGCCAGGTGTCAATTTGAATGTCTTCTTTTTAGAAAAGTTTCCTTTGACTGTCGTATCTAAAATAGCAGCTGACCATCATCTTACCCTTCTTTACTAACCTGTATATTTCCTTTATTGTTCTTATTGGAATTTGAAATTTATTATTTTCACTCCTCTCTACTGGCATATAATCTTAGTGAGATCAGAAACCTTGTCTGATTATTCACTGCTATATCCTCAACATCTAGCTTGGTAATCATAATATTTATTGAGCAACTTAAGGAAAATCACCGAACTGGAGTCTATAAATATGGCAGAGTACTAGACATACTTTCTGCCCTCAAGGAATCTGTCTCCCAGGTGGGAGACAGAACATATAGATAATAAGTTGAGGAATAATATGAGGTGGCATATCAATGCCAAATCATTTCTAAAAGATTGTAAGTTCTAAAGAAATTCCTCCATTAGTCCAAAGTATCAGCTGGGTCTTGAACTGGGCATAAGAGAGATAAACAGTGAGGAGTAGATTGAGGAGAAGTTGCATTCCAGACAGGTAGAGAAAAGGAGCTGAGACCAAAAAGCTCAAAGCCTTTGCCAAGTACAGTGAATAGGAATATATAGCTTAGGAGTTCTCATTTGGTGCATGTGGGAGGGTGGGGTGATTATTGCTCCAAAGGAGGTGCTCTTGTCATCACAATAATTGGATAGTGCAACTGGCATTTAGTGGACAGGAGCTGGACATCCTGAAATGCGTGGAACACTCAAATATAGAAGCTGGCAAACTACAGTCCAAGGCTGACTGCTAGTTTTTGTAAATAAAGTTTTATTTGAACACAGCACTCCCATTTATTTGTGTCTTGTCTATGCTTTCTTAGAATCAAGTGGTTGTGACAGAGTGTATGGTCCACAAAACCTAGAGCTTATACTGTCTGGCTCTTTATAAAGTTTGTCAACCCCTGCTTTGGTACAGTGAACTTGTCTTATGTCTCATAAGCCTTTTGAATGTCTTCTTGGGCATTCATGCAGCTGGAAACCTATTTATATTTGTCTTAGGCTATAACTCAACTACTTCACATATAAACACAAAGTGTGCTCTGCACGCATTTAATACATATCAAATTTTCCAGGAATACAAGTACAGTGTAAATCAAAGGAAAATTGTATTTTGTTTTGTTTAAAACTTTACTGCAATTGTTCACCATTTTGGAAGATTACATAACTAATGGCAGTATTGCTTGTACTATTTAAGTTGCTAATGTAACACTCTTGATCAGTCTGCATTTCTAGTGGTTGTGTTCATGATGATTCTATATATAGATGTGAGCACCACTCTTCATTATGTTTTCCAGTGTAGTTGTAGCTGACTATTTATATATTTAAGTACATTATTTTATTATATATTACTTTTTATTTCTATTTTGTATTTCGGTTACATATAGATATATATTTGAAATTCTATATATAAATATTTGAAATTATATGTGTACACAGATCCTATTATCTGTGAATTTCATTTCATAGTAGTAAAGGCATCTTTATAAAATATTTGTTATATAAAGAGGGTATTAGGTCTACTGCGATTGGAAACCATTGGCTGAGATGGAGGAGTGGGTTTCCGTTGAGCTGTGGAGGGAGGCAAGGTTAAGAGTCCTATTGAATTTCATTATGGTAGATGCTGAAGGTTAGGGAGTAGGAGAGGGCAAAGAGACACTGGGCAAGAGAAAAGCAAGAGGAAAATGAAACTTGCAGCAGACATGGTCCCTAGCATGTGGTGTGTGCACTGGAATTAACCAACCTAACTTTGCTGTTGGTCTCTGCCCAGGTTCAAGGTTGAGAAAGTTCATAATGATATTAGAGGATCCAGTTGTGACAGATAGGCCCAAGAGTGGGAAGTTCAAGGGAAGAAGCAAGTAGGGTCCAATTGAAGTTGTTGATGATCTATCTGTTCATATTGGCTGGGGATGAGGCAAGGCTCATGGGCATATGGTCAGCCTTAAGATAAGCTTAGGAACTGGCCTTAGGATGCAGCTGTGTCATAGAATGCAGGGCTCTGTAGCTGGGACTTTGTTCTGTGGGTTGGAGAGCCTCTGAAGACTCTTGAGCTGAGTATGTTAGGAAGATAAATCTGACATTAAGATGTGATATAGATTAGATAAGGAGGAACCTGGAAGCTGATAAATCATGCATTCAAAGTAGTACAGATTTGAAATTAGGAGGACCTGGGTTTATTAGAAAGCAGTGACAAAAAAATGATGTAGTAGAGAAAGAAATTCCAGAGTTTGGTGAATTATTGATTATAGATGATTGGAGAGGGAAATGTCAATGATTTTGAGTTTGAATGAGTACAGGTATGGTGCCAGAAAGAGAAATAGTTTGTGATTGCATGGAGAATTGCTTGTAACACTTTATAGTTTGAAAAGGCTGTTATCCAATTTAATCTTCACATTAGCCCTTTGAAGGTTTTTTTTTTTTTGTGAGGAAGATCAGCCCTGAGCTAATATCCATGCCAATCCTTCTCTTTTTGCTGAGGAAGACCACCCCTGGGCTAACATCTGTGCCCATCTTCCTCCACTTTATATGGGACGCCGCCACA